GTTTTAGTCTTCTTATCGTTCTTCTTTCTCCATATATCTAGCTGCCTTGACACTTTATACCTGACTTATTATGTGGAAAGAACTTGTGATAACAAGAAGAAAATAACGAAAACAACACTTTAATTCATATATGATATTGCATATTCCTATTATTTAGATGACGATGCATTTCACTATCGCTCTCGTTATCTCTTGCTTGCTCGACATGTAGAAACTTCGTTAGCATCCATGAAACAAAGAAAAGATAACAAATCTCTAATATAACAAACGAAACATAAACACACCTGTATAGCAATTGATTGTAAAAAATTTCCAACAAAAGGAAGAAATAGCAATATATATAGGAGACTAAGTCTAACGTACTGCATCTTTTCATTTACCAATCATGGGTAATTATACATCAACGGCAACTGTTACTAATGAACCAGCAACGATCATCACCCACAGTACTAGTGTGCTGCCTCGCAGTGCTTGTCGAATTATTCAAAACTTTCTTCTCGTTTGGCTCGATGCCAATTTTGATGAATCAGGCAGTGATTTTAAAAATTCGTTGCAACATCTTCGAAAAATCGTGGCATCCATCACAACATTTACGGATGCCCAACAATGTGTTAATTTCCTAAGTGAAATCAAAAAAGAAAAGGTATTTATGATCGTATCAGGTTCCTTGGGTCGTCAAATAGTACCAGAAATCGAAGCATTGCCACAACTGGAAGTAATTTATGTGTTTTGTGGCAACCAATCGATTCATGAACAATGGGCTAAAAAAATCAGCAAGGTTAAGGGTGTATACACAAAAATAGAACCAATTTGTCAAGAACTTGAAATTGATCGACAACGATGTGATCAAGCTATGATCCCGATCAGCTTTAATGGTCGTGATGCATTATTTATGTATACACAACTTTTAAAAGAAGCCCTTTTGGAAATTGAAGATGACGATGTCAAATCGATTAAAAATCTCGTAGAATACTGTCGTCTGCAAAATGATGTTGATGAAGATGAAATAAAAAAAGTGCAGCGAGAATACCGAAATCATACATCAATTTGGTGGTATACGGCTCCTTATTTCATGTACTCAATGCTCAATCGTGGGCTCCGAGAAATGGATGTCGATATTATCCTGAAAATGGGATTTTTCATCCGTCATTTACATCAGCATATTACCGAACTACATCGCGAACAACAAGGAAACATGCCAACAAATTTTCAAGTCTTCCGTGGACAAGGTTTGTCCATGGAAGATTTTGAAAAAATGAAAAAAACCAAAGGAGGACTTATGTCCTTCAATAACTTCCTGTCAACAAGTCGCAATCGTCAGATATCTTTCAAAAACTTTGCACGACCAGCAGCATTAAATACAAATTCAGTTGGCATCCTTTTCATTATGAACATTGACACGGCTATTTGCACGAAATCATCAACACCATTTGCTGAAGTAAGCGAGGTTGGCTACTACAAAGATAAAGAGGAAGAAATACTATTTTCAACACATGCGATTTTTCGTATCGATCGCATTGAACGAATTCCCGATAATCACTCTGATCGGCTATACGAAGTCTCTCTCACTATTGTGGGTAATGACAATCATGAATTAAACACACTAACAGCACATATCCGTGAGGATCTTGGTGGTCGCACAGGATTGTCTCGACTTGGTTTCATACTTATTAAAGTGGGCGAACCTGCAAAAGCAGAACAACTTTATCAAATTCTCCTTGCAAAGGCATCTTCTGATGAGGATCGAGAAGAATACAATGATCAACTTGCCTGGATCTATAATAACATGGGTGAGTACTTAAAATCAGTCTTATTCCTCGAACAAGCACTTGATATCAAGAAGAAAACTCTCCCTCCGAATCATCCCGACTTGGCTTCTTCCTACAACAACATCGGCTTGGTGTATGATAGCATGGGCGAGTACTCGAAAGCACTTTCATCCTATGAACGATCACTTGAAATTCAGAAAATAGCTCTCCCTCCGAATCATCCCAACTTGGCTGGTTCCTACAACAACATCGGCGAAGTGTATAGAAACATGGGCGAATACTCGAAAGCACTTTCATCTCACGAACGATCACTGGAAATCAAGAAAATAGCTCTCCCTCCGAATCATCCTGACTTGGCTGATTCCTACAACAACATCGGGTTGGTATATAATAACATGGGCGAGTACTCGAAAGCACTTTCATCGTATGAACGATCACTTGAAATCCGTAAAATAGCTCTCCCTCCGAATCATCCCGACTTGGCTGCTTCCTACAACAACATCGGGTTGGTGTATAATAACATGGGCGAGTACTCGAAAGCACTTTCATCACACGAACGATCACTTGAAATCAAGAAAATAGCTCTCCCTCCAAATCATCCCGACTTGGCTTCTTCCTACAACAACATCGGGTTGGTGTATAATAACATGCGCGAGTACTCGAAAGCACTTTCATCGTACGAACGATCACTTGAAATCCAGAAAATAGCTCTCCCTCCGAATCATCCCGACTTGGCGGCTTCCTACAACAACATCGGCTTGGTGTATTATAACATGGGCGAGTACTCGAAAGCACTTTCATCGTATGAACGATCACTTGAAATCCGTAAAATAGCTCTCCCTCCGAATCATCCTGACTTGGCTGATTCCTACAACAACATCGGGTTGGTGTATAATAACATGGGCGAGTACTTGAAAGCACTTTCATCGTATGAACGATCACTTGAAATCCGTAAAATAGCTCTCCCTCCGAATCATCCCGACTTGGCTACTTCCTACAACAACATCGGTATGGTATATGATAATATGGGCGACTACTCAAAAGCACTTTCATTTCTTGAAAAAGCACATGAAATTGATCGTAAAACTTTGCCACCAAATCACCCAAATATCGCACAATCGAAAAGAAACATTGAAAATGTGAAAAAGAAAATGTAATTGTCTTTTTTTCGATTTTAAGGAGAAAATAAATTGGCGTTCTTGAAACTGAGGCTCGCCGAAGCAAGCAGCTGCAAAATTTCGCGCACGCGCGACCAGAGATACCCTCCGTATTCTGCTGGCTCGTACAGTGGATAAAGCCGGCAATGGCTAGGCAAACATACATCGATGTACGTATGAATAGTACGACCATGATCATCATCTTCGAACAGACGATGACGAAATGGACGCTTCTATTCATACATACATTGATGTATGTTGTGAAGGTCTACCATCTGCACGCCTGCACGGGTCACCAACAGAACGTCGGATATCCCTGAGAAGGTTCATTTGTTTTAGAGCCACCCTCAAAAGCTCCATTAGTTAGAAAATTATTTTTGTTCTTCTGTTATGAAGAACGAGAAGAAGTAGAAATGGAAGAAA